TGACTGATGATGTTATGAGTTCATAACGAAACGTCTCAATAAAATCAATAAAATGATTAAAACGGTGTCTATAATTCTCTTATTTATATTAGAATATAGTGTTGTACGAAGTAGATCTGTTATTTTTTTTAATTTCTTTTTCAAATTTTTATTACGAACATCTAGGCTTGATTTATGCATGAAACTATAGAAGACTCTATGCATATTTCATGATCATTTCAAAAATACATGTTTCAATATTTCCACACTCTGCTTCAGGGATTTAGATATTGAAAATGTTTCTTTCCTCTATAAAAAAGAAAATATTTATATAATTTCATCAAAAACAGTGTGTTGATTATGGATATAAAAAAAAAATCTTTAATAAAATCATTGAATATTATTAAGATATTATCAATGCCACGTCTTTTTCACATCGGAAAATGGGCTATTTTAAGGTGAGCCTCTCCCTCAGAAACGAACTTCGTTATTTTTCATCCGATTTCAACCAAAATTTCCAAGAATGTTAGTCTTGACTAGAATAGCTTATGGTTAAAATACCTCCTCCAAATCCCAAGTAAATGCACAAGTTCTAGCCGATTCATTACCGTTTACGCGGGCAAGGATTTCACAATAAGGATACGAGCAAACAAGCCCGCGCGGTTTTCAGATTGTAGAGTAACCTTGGCGCTAGGTCGTAATAGAGCCCGATTTTTGAATTTCCCTTTGTTTGATTTTTAAAAACCTTTTTCCGCAAAAATCCACGAAATTGTACCCAAAAACCCTGCTAACAAAAATGAAATAACCCCTGTTGCAAAAGTCTTTAGACAAAATGTTTATCCCTTTTTCAGTCACCTAAACGTTATTAGTGAGAATCAAAAGCAGTTAGCTAAAATCAGATTTTTGTGTTCTTTCCGAATATCTGATCAGAATATTTCTCTGACTTAACATTGATTAGAAATGGGCCAAATCTTTGACAGAGTGAAAAATGATGTCTGTACAAAAAGTCATTCTGCAAATGTTTGTTCATCTTTCAGCCGCTAAAAGTATTTGATACGAACCAAAAGTAGCTCCTTATAGTCAGTCTTATCTGCTCTTCTCTGATATGTGTTCAGAATATCTCTTTGGCTCAAGATTGGTCAGCTGTAAGTTAATACTTGAAAGAGGCGAAGAATGACATCTCGACGAAGAAAACACATGTTTTCCCGCTATTCATTACTTATGTAAGTTGGATTTTGAAGCAGTTCAAAATTGGCAATTTGTAGAGCATTCAATTCTCTATAAAACCATATATGACAATAGGCTTCAACTCAGATGAATAAAAGGTTGTAGACGTTTTTCTGAGAACTGATTGATACGTAAAATAAAATCCTGCCAAAAAGTCAATTTTCCAAGATCTTCTATTTATAATACAACAAATTGCATGTATTTGTTTCGAGATGGAAAACCAAACTAAATAGCATAGTTTGTAGAGCAAACTTCGCTCTATAAAATTGGCTGATGAAAATATCTTTCGTGTTTTGCGTAGAGTAGATATCAATCAAAACACAAAAATACATCCAATAAAATTCTGTACAAACATCATTTTCGACTCTGTCAAACATTTGGCTCATCCCTAATCAATATTGAGTCAGTGAAATATTCTGATCAGATATTCGAAATGAGCACAAAAATCTGATTTTAGCTAACTACTTTTGATTCTCACTAATGACGTTTAGGCGCCTGAAAAATGAATAAACATTTTGTCTAAAGACTTTTGCAACAGGGGTTATCTAATTTTTTTGTTTCAACAAACGAGAAATTCAAAAATCGGACTCTGTTACGACCTAGACCTAGCTATCCTCTATTCAACAAAAAAAAATTTCCCTTATTTATAAAGTCGTTATTAAAAAAGCCTTGCCCGCGTAAACGATGTTCTCGAAAAAATTCGTTTTGAGAAAAACGGAAAATAAGTATTAGAAATCAATTTTTCCGAAAATCACCTTATTTATATATCAATGTTCACGACAGGCTATAAATATATGATCTTAATATTAAGTATTCATAGTCTCTTAGTGATTAATATTAGAAAAAAAACTTGACGAAATGCTAATGCAAAGAGAAAACAGCCTAAAAAGTCGAAAAAGCTTGGAAAAAAACCGTGAAAACTTCTCGTAAAATATGACAGTAGGAGCCAAGTTTTAGACGATAAGTTCGCCAAAATCAATTCATTTTTTTATAAACCATAGATATTCTGAAAGAGGAGATTTCAGTGCATCTTCCTATGATAAAACTCCAATTTCGAGTCGTCTCCAAAAAATTGAATTTTCTGAGGACGGGGCCTCCCTTAAAGAAACATCTTTCAAGTTTACAATAAGACGCTGCTATTTCGAAATATATACAACTCAATAGTATATGATTTTAAAGAAAGTTTTATATTAATATTCACTTGTTCTATGTCATAAAATTCAACATATAACATAGATTTAAGAAAAGAAACTATTTTTAAGTATGAAAAAAATCAATAATGAAAATTATTGATTATATATAATTAAAGAGTACCTATAACTCTATCGAATTAGACATACAAATAAAATTACCATAAATTTATCCTAGAATATCTTAGAAATTATAGCATCTACATAGTACCATATATATATATATATCCTTGGGCAAAAGTCTTTCCCTCCATCTCTCTTTTTTAGCAAGGCTTTCTGTACTATTAAAAGGACAAAACATGATATTGTTCGGGTCAATTAGGAGTTATTCGAGTTCTCTTTTATATGGCCTGAACAACACCATGTTTTGTTGTTATAATAGCAGAGAAAACTTTGCCGAAAAAGAGATGTGGGAAAAGACTTTTGCCCAGGGGTGTATATATATTTTTTTTTTCTCAAAGACTATAAACCGTACATGAATCTTGCTTGAGGCCCTCCCTCCCCCCACAGACTCAAAAAAAGTGAATTTTCGTCAAAAATTTTGGAATTGAGATAAATGCATGGGAAGATAGTCCGTCCTAAGATCTTTCCCAAATAACAAAAATTTTTACTCAACATCTCTTTTTTTTTCAAAAAATTTTGTGAATTTCTGTGAATCCCTATACGAAAACTAAGCTGCTTTTTTGAAAAAACAAAAAATCTTTTTCGTTTTACCTCGGTTTATGATTTTTTGACCTTCTGACGAGGAATTCTCGGTTCAGGCTCTGCCAATATATTCAAATTTTTTTTTCGTTTGTAAGAATACGTCGAGTTGCGGGATACCACAGAGTCCTTTTTTAATTAAGCTTTGTTTTTTTAGTGTATATACGGATAAATTCACGTATTTTTGGCACTTTTTTCCAGTCATTGAGCTTGTGATCCTTTTCTCCCGCTAAAAAAGTAAGAATAAAGAAAAAAGAACTCTGTGGTGTCCTGCATCCAAAGATGCTCTTTCAAACGAAAAAAAAGAAATTAAATAGATTGGCCGAGCCTGGATCGAGAAATCCTTATCACAAAATAAGATACTTTTCATCCTTGTTTGGTTCATAAACATCATGATATCGAGCTGAAAATTTTACCACAGCCTCCTCACTTCATCTCCAACACATGCTTCAAATTTCAACCCATATGTACGTACCTGAGCTGAGATCGGTTGCTGAGTGGGGAGAGGAGACCTTAATGAATCACAATTTTCATGAGACTCGATTTCTTGTATATTATTCAATAGACTACAGAATGCTCTAAAAGATCATATATATCATATTATCTTTATTGATAGATAATCAAATCTGGCAATGAATGGCCTTGTTTGTTTTTATTCTAATTGATATTTTACTTAAGTTAATGCATATGGTCGGAATGGTATGGGTTTTGAAGCTGTTCAACTTTTTCATAAAGTTCCAACGAATATATTAGATGAACGTGTTTATATATGTGTCTTAAATGCTTGTGCTCATGCTGGACTTATCAATGAAGCTCGTCAAATCTGCGAAAAGATTCCATTTAATCAAAGAACGGAACAAATTTATACTACAATGGTAAAAATTTTTTATTGACTTTTAAATTTATTTTTCATTTTTATTTATTTTTGTGCAGGTCGATACTTTTAGTCGTGTTTTTCTTTTTGATCAAGCACAAAAATTTATTGATGAATTTGAAAAGTCTCATCATCCTTCAATTCCAATGTATAGTAAGTTACTTGTCTTTCTTTTTATTGATATATAATCGTGCTTATATATATATACTAGTGTCAATGCTCTCATCTGCTAGGAATGCAAAGAATGCTTTATTATCACAAAAGATTTTTGATCGTATTCAGTCAAATTTTTCCAATGTTGAAAATTGTATTACACCAGCAACAGTTCTTCTTGCTAATACATATGCTTTAAGTGGTAATAAGTCGATGGCATCAATTATTCGAACAAAATTAAGTCAAACAATTACGAAAAAAGTTGTTGGTTGTTCTTGGACTGTTGTCAATAGAAAAGTTTTTGTAAGTTAAATTAATATAAAAAGAATCATGTTTTGTTTTTTGTTTTTATGATTAGAAATTTCGAGCTCATGATAGATCTCATCCATGTTCACAAGATATTTATGCAGAATTAGATCGATTAGAAAAAGAACTGATCGAACATGGTTACAAATATGATGAATCTTGGATAGCACGACCATTAAATAATGATGAAACTGTTGAATCAGTATTATCTGGACATAGCGAACGCCTTGCTATTGCTTATAATTTGATTCAACGGCCAACTCCAACTCGTATTCAAGTTGTAAAAAATTTACGTGTTTGCGGCGATTGTCGTTAGTTGATTAACTTCTATTTTATTTCTGTTAGTATTTCTTTTTTTTTTTATCATCATAGATACATGGACTAAGTTGGTTGCTAAAACTCGTCGATGTTTGATAGTTGTTCGTGATGCTAATCGTGTGCATCATTTCTATCCTAATGGTGAATGCTCATGTCAGGATCATTTTTGAATAAAATATTTATAACACTCGAACATTGTATTTTTTTTATTTTTCTACGTATATTATTCTCGTCTATTGAATACTTGTTGTTCAATTTATGAATGTAACAAATTCTATATATATGTTGTGGTCAAAATTAAAATTTAGTCAAATTTAAAATTTGCCCAGTCAAAATTAAAATTTCAATTCTGCCTAGGCAAAATTGAAATTAGAAGTTTGTCCAATGAATTATTAGTCAAAATTGAAATTTTAATTTTGACTGGGCAAAATTGAAATCGTTCTCTAATCAATAGAAGCAGGTAATAAAGGATAAAGAATTGAGTATAACAATTTTTTTGTTCGGAAATATTTTGTGAGCATTTCGGAGTGTCACAATAAATGAGCTCAATCCAAAAGAAATTCGGAAATATTTTCGACAAAAATAAAATCAGTACTACTGCTTATTTCAAAATAAAAGGCGGGTGGGTATTTTTTGAATAACTTTTGATAGGAACAAGATAGAGACCTGCGGTTTTCACTGTTGAAAAGAGCAGATGAAAACGCATCGAACCATATAAGTCAATGACTTTTAACTTGGACTTTTGAAACCTTTTGCAATAGTTGAAGAAAGAAATGCCTTAAAAACAGGTCTGATTTTTTCAGGAAAAAACGGAGAAAACTCAAAAAATGAGTTTTTTTATAGAAATTGTTGGCAAAGTGGACTAGAATTGTCAAATATAATATCTAGAACTCTCAAATCAGTAAAGCTTTGAATCAAGCCTTATATATAGTTTTGTATCGCGTCAGCTGCTGATTCTAATCCACTCCTCAAACTTTAAAATTTGTTCTATCTTCATAGAGCAATGGTCTAGTCTTTCAAGATGACCATAGATCACTATTTATTTATGAAATAAATCTCAACAATTTTATATGAATCGATGCGCTGGACAGGTCTCTTTCCAATGGTGAAAACCGCAGCTCTCTACCTTGTTCCTATCAAAAGTTATTCAAAAAATACCCACCCACCTTTTATTTTGAAATGGGCAGTAGTTTTATTTAGTTTATAAGAACAACTATCTCTTTCATAAGACGTTTGGTCGAGCAAAAAACGGTTGAGCGACGATACGGGTGATGCTTCTTTTGTTAGCTCTTCTTCACACCCTCATCCTCACCTCATTAGAGTCCACCGAGTCATAGATATTGTAGACCCGAATTTGGTTGATTGAAGCTTCCAGGAACTCGAACCCAAACTCAATTGGTTTAAGTTTTCTAGGAACTTTCATTCATGGTAATAAGGACTTCAAACATTCTTCTATAGTTACGCAAAAAGTGAACTCTTCAGACTGCACTGGAGTAAAGGTACTTAGTTTTCTAATGTGATCATGATTTTTGAAATACTCTATATTATAGTCTATCGAATCGAAGAATTTCTAAACCCAGACTCGAATTCGGGCCCGACAAACTTGGAAATTTTTCAGACCTAGACCCTACCCGAGCCTGAGCGAGCATGGATCCGGATCCAAATGGACCCGATGAGCTCTGACTCCCACTTACACTCTCATCCCACACACTATATTCATCTTCTTCTTTTGATTAGAAAACGATTTCAATTTTGCCCAGTCAAAATTAAAATTTCAATTTTGACTAACAATTCATTGGACAAACTTCTAATTTCAGTTTTGCCTAGGCAGAATTGAAATTTTAATTTTGACTGGGCAAATTTTAAATTTGACTGAATTTTAATTTTGACCACAACATATATATATCTGTCATAAAGATTGTATATTTTCTATGTGAAAACACGTCAAACATAGCCAAATCTTTCTGTCATTTATATCCAATTTTATTTGTTCTACTTGATATTAGTATTAGATTTCATTTAATATTTAAAAAGTTTCTAAGATTTAACACATTTTGATGAAAAGTTTAATTTTCTTACAATTTTTATCAAATTCTGTTCAACCTTAGATCTTTTTTTTTTCAAATTAGTCGAAGTCTAGTACCAACATCGAATAGAACAAATATGATTGGTTATAAAGGACACAAAGATTTGATCATGTTTGACGATTTCTCACACTGAAAATCGTTAACCTTTGTGTAAAATATACAATATTTGGTGATCCTTAGTTCACTCCTTCCGGTTTTCTCCAAAATAGTTGCAAAAGATTAAAGTAAAAAATCGTATAGAACAGACTACGTTTTTTTTTTGGTCTACCTTGATATTCCTCCGAATGTCTGCAGATATCAATCGTCTTCGAATATTTCAAGTTCATGGAAGGATCTACTTTTCATCAATGTGTATTATAGTAATATATTTTTTTAAATTGATCTGTTACTCTCTTTCGTCAATATTTTATGAGAAAAAATGTCCAACTATTCAATCAGTTTTACCTTGAAACTATTACCATTCACGATTGACATTTTATCTTTATTTCACTTTGAAAAATTAAGATAGTTAATTGTATTTTATTCAGTTAAGCAAACTATGTAGATTTTATCAGAAAACTAAAATAAAGTAAACTGAATTTAAATACTTACAATTTAATATTGACTTTTTGTGGCTTACTATCATACATATTGATAAAATTCCATCAACCATTTTCACCGTATGATATTCAATTATATTATCAACAATTAACTTTAGGTATTCTAATTCGGTTTACTTCACTCTAATAGGTTAAATATATGTATTTAACTTTAACAAGTAATATATACATATACATTACTTTATCGATAAAATAAAACAAACTAATTTACTTTAATTGTTAAAATGTTGGTCCTACTGCCTATTCGATCAGCCATAATGAGTAATAAAAAGTCTGTTTTAGCCTGGTTTCCAGACTTTCGCTCACTGACCTCTACTTGTTTTACTCGATTTTTATTCTTGGAGTATCGAGTTTATGACAATCTCCATAATTCTATGTCGAGTTCAACTTTTGCCTATGAAGAGAATTTTTTGTTACTAGAAACTCTCTAAACTTTTCATGCTATGGTTCATTGTTTGCTCGATATTTATTAACAGACAATCTATGAAAGAGCCAAAAACAAAAAACAGACATTCATCAAAGTTCTAATTTTTGATTTTTTTAAAATGTGTATTTGAAAAATCATGATGTTAAACTAGTTAAGTTAAACTTTTAGCCTATTTGGATATTTTATGGTAAAGTCAATTTAGATCGATATTTTAGTACTACTTACTATCCAGGAATTACTGACAAAATCTTCAATAAATATCTACTAGGATTAAGTTAGAGAAATTTTTCATGTAATATATCAAAAAATTAAATATGAAAAAGTGAAATGAAATCAGTTATTTCAAATATTATATATCATCTATATACTTGAGTTATGTAAATCAATACCAGTGAGAAAGATAATACTTTATCAGTTAATAATGGTTGATATACGACAGTCTATCTGCTCTTTTTTTTTTTTTTTTTTTCGTTTTTGTAAATGGAAAGATACTATACTGAATGAGTTTCTAAAATGTTGTATAACTTTTTATTTTCTAAAAAAATGTAAAAAAATATTAGAAAAAAAGCATCTTATCTTTGGGATGAATCTGGTTGTCAAACCTGTCTTCTATATAGTGATTTATAATAGTTTTTTTAATGAAAAAAAGAAATAAAAATTTTAGTGATTTTTATTGCTACAATTCGATTATCAAATAAAACTAGATGGTATTCGAGCTTCGCTTCGAATACGAAATGCGGAGCGAAGCACACGTGCCGACTATTCGAACAACAAATTTCGAATCGAAATCGAATAATCGCTGAACGTATCATCTTTAGGTAGTTCACGCAATCTGTACCAGCGTTCTACGATAGTCCAGGATATTTCTAAGTAAAGTACAATCAACAAAAAATCATCTTTATCAAACAGCTAATCTCATTTAGATTCGAAATGAAATGTGTTCATTATAAAATTCATCACTGTAGAAACTCTATGAAAGACTATCAATAAATTTCTAAACATTGTTTTCTATTGATCAATTAATTATGAGTGTGAGTGTGGATATAGTACTGCGATAATTAAACAACCGCATCGACACCCATACACCCATACCAACATCCACACCCTTCTTTGAAATGATGAAATATGTTATTTTGTTCTTTTTGTTCAATGAAATAAAATCTGATCTAAAATTCCAAATTCGACTAATCTTATTGTTAATAGAGGGTATCCTCAGAAAAGTTTAACTGAATAACTCTTAAGCAGTTCAAATGATTTAATTGCTGTTTTTTTATAATATGATAGTACATTCGTTTAAGTATTATTCCATATAATTTGGCTCGTACAAAATTTTCGAAAGAATTAGCATCAACTGATATATATAATATTGATTCTTATTTTAAGTTCAACCAAATCTTTGTATATATCTTATACATACAGGTTTTTATTTTATATTTATCGATAAAGTACTTCAATGGAAAGAGATTTCATATGAAAAACAACAAATTCTCCTGATTGTTGAAATTTTTGAAATTCGAGTATCAAAATTTGACAACTTCAATTCGACTTTGTAAATATTCTTTATGAAGGTGTGAGATAAATTACATTTTGTACGGGTGTGGGCGTGGATGTGTTTAGATGTGCGAAATGATCACACTTACACCTACATCCAAATATGTTTGATAACAAAGATGACAAACAGTTATTATTATTATTATTTTACTTTCTTCGAGACTTTCATTATTTGTTAATTGAGACAATGGATCATAGAAATGAACTTTTATTACACAATCAAGATGTTTTGATTTTCACTAAATCAACTTTAGAAGAGTTTAACGATATTTGAAGTTAAATGTCAATATTAATAAATGTGGAAAACTCGGATTTAAATCCGAGATTTATGTGTACTTCAAAAAGTGAATGAGACAGATGAGTCAGCCTAGAATATGTGATCCTAAAAATTATCCCACTAATATTAATTGGCCGAATTTTAAGCCTACAGCTTAGATGGCCTACTACGCCAATTGGTCATACAAGTATTCAATGGAAAGGTTAATTAATTGAATTCAATATATTATAAAAAAATTTGACTATATTTTCTTATCGAATTCAGCTATAGTTTTAGTAATTTTACGTACAAAAATAACAAAGGAATAATTTTTCATACTAGCAGGAATAATATTAATCAAATAATGTAACAGCACCATTCTGCTTTATTAATGACACTTTTAATCATTGTTAGTCTGGCAGATGTATACGAAGAAAGCAGCCAATCAATGAGTTAGGCCAATTCAGTCGTAAGCTGAAGATTCTCTCGATTATTATTATCCAAATTATCCTGGCAAGCCTTTTCTATAAGAACTTGATTTTTATTGACTACTGCTCAACCAATAAGGTTTACAGATGAATATAGCTCAGATTTGAACTCTTCACCTTCATTTACCCTAAGAAAGTCGTTTTTCCTATAACTTGATTTTTATTGTTTACTGTTCGACCAATAGGATTTCGAGGCAAATGGAGCTCAGATTCGAGTTCTCTACTCCAGAAAACCTAGAAGTATTATCTCTGTGATCGAAAGACAGAGCTCTAATTGTGGTCCAATTAGAGCGTAGACAAAAACAGAACTAACGGCTGTTTAATTATTTTTGCAATAGATGAGTTAGCATTCTTGTTTCTTTATGTTTCATATACCATTTTGTAGCTTGTAAAATTCTCTATCGAGTGGTATATAATAGTTGGAGTTTAATTTGATTATGATAGTAAAAGTTTTTTACGAAAGTGAAGATAGGTCGATTTTCCTATAGGAAGTGATAGGAAAAAAATGACTATTTTTGCAATAACTCTGGAACGGCTAGGCCAATCATGCTCATCTTCAAACTCGACTGAGATATTGTCAAGACTGAACTGTGTAGAAAATTTCATTGTAATCGGACTCTCCTTTCAAAAGTTATCGTGTAAACGGACGGTCGGATACAGTGACCGATTCTAGAGTGTACTCACTTTTTGAGTACACAAAAATTAAGATTTAGTACTATATTAGGAGAATAAGTAATGTTTACCATTGTAGACAAAAGTAACTGCCTTTCTCTCTCGAATTTATACGAACATTTTAGCTTCATAGGTTAATTATAAGCTGAATAATACTTTTATGAGTGATATATTTTCGACTTTTTTTTGACATTGATACATTACACTTTGTTGTATGCATACTGATATATCTTTTCATTGGAAAGCTTGTGCATTATCACTTATCTGATTATTCATATCGAAATAGGTATTCTCTATATGATTCGTTCCAGTTACACAAAACGATGAATTATAATTTCTTTTTTTTCCTTCGAATGTAATATATCTATGTCTTGCTCAGATTTGATCATTAAAATTCCATTGTTTAAATCGATTGAGCAATAAGATCTTAGTTATTTCAAATTGGTTCTACTATTTAATAGAATATTATTCACAAGTCAACGTACAATAGAGATTTGAGATGTGGTACTTCTAAGACGAAGTTAGTAAATTATTCCTAAGACAATCATATTTCAACCTATTGACTCCGACTTAGTAATCTCACGACAATGTTTAATGACAGAAATCTCAGCTCATTTGATTAGAATTTTCATGTGAAGGGAGAATCTAAAACAGTTTGTTTTTTGATTTACTATTGTCATAGAATTTCCATTAAAACTAATCGATATATGTAATTATTTTTAGCTTAAATCTAATTTTTGAAAAAGACAAACTAACTATATAGTAAGATATTTTATATTGAATAGAATATAATATTTTTTCAAAAGAAAAGTTTATTGCTTTAATACTAAAAAAAGAAAAGAAAATATCTTTCTTAATAACTTGAGAAGAATTCTTGTGTATGTAGTTGCTACAAAAAAATTTAACATGAAACAATAAAAAAAAAAAAATTTTATTTCATTTAGAAACAATGATCAATTTTGTTCTTTTGTATCAATATGAAGTTGTATGGCATTGTTTTGACCAATTGTCCATGTTCTTCTACCAACATTACTTTATTGAATGAGTTTCTCTTTTATCCATGTCCAATCAACATCTTGTAAACTTAATTGATTAACTTGAAAATTTGAACATCGTGTTGGAAAAATCGAAAGTGATTGAAGACGAATTGATTTTGATCTTCCATCTTGTGAAGGTAATGTTGATATTAATAGATGTAATTGAAATAATGCACCAAAATCATTTCGATATAATTGATCAATTGCATAATCACCAAGAAAATCACCACAACCATATAATATTAAACCATAAGCACCATTTTGACGTTGAACAATTTCAATACCTTGTACATGATGACTTGAATGTCCATGTATAAGATCAACTCCTTGATGTATCATCCATCGAGCAAGTTCTTGAATTTTTTGATCTGGTATCCATTGATAATTTGGACCCCAATGAAAAGAATCTTAACGGTCATCTGATCGATTTCTTTTTGTCTCAATTTTCCGGGTCATTGGTTATTATAACATGGTTCTGGCTAGTAAAAACGATTATTTTGTAAAATATGCTTCAAAAAAACCTTCAGTGTTGATGACTGCCGTTGATCATCACTTTTTATCAATTATTAGTTAGATTGAAATCAGCTTTTTCACCCTAGGTTAGATTGTTGATTATTTGTCTCTGAATATCCAATTTCTTGTTTGCCTTGTGCTTTGTGAATAGAAATGGGCTGTATCAATTAGTTTCAAGCTTATAGATTTAATGCAAGATGAAAACAGCCTGATCAAATTACATGGATTGAATGTTTTGCGTCGAAACGTTCGAAAACGTTTTCAATTAATGCGGACTCCTCAGTTTTTCTAGAGAGCTGTTAAAAATGAAGAGAACAATACATTTTGCCCCCATTCTCACATTTAAAGCCTCCTCCTCTATCAAGAAAATACTGTGGACAAAATATTTTTCGGCGAAAAAGATCGACATCAAGTTACATCAAGGTGTGGATGGAAGGATTTCAGTTTGAATTAAAATATAAAAGGCTTGATTGCTTGGTAGGATACTCACACAACATATCAGCGATATTACGATTTCAAAGATTATAGAAGCACTATGAATATTCATCTCATATGTTTTATTGTCGTTTGCTTTGCACTCCTCGCAGGTAAGAAGATAAGCAAAAGGTGCAACCGGAAACTTTTCTTTTAAATTCGTTTCATATCAGCTGATTGCAAATCCCGAAATGACAATCGATTTTTGAAGTGTTTCCAAAGGCATAATAGATTCTGGAATGACTTCAGATTTCATAGTAATGTCAATTCATACCTGAGTTGCTCCATCGAGATAGGAACAGCTCATTTGATTCAGTCTCGTTTCTTGATTCTGATTCATTTGGTTATAGTCAAACAATCAAGCGTAAGGAAGAACCATAAATCCTATTTGAGCCTGAATTCACAATTTCTGTCTCAAAATTGCATTAATAAAGCAATGTGAAAAGATAAGAATTCTTCACGGAGCTGACTGCGAAGATCGAAAGAAAATTGGTACCAGAACGAATGTCATTTACTGCAAAATTACATGCTATATATTGATTGATGAATAAGAAGGATCTATTCCAGTGACGAAAAATTCCATGACCCGTGTCAATAAATGAGAAAAGAAAATTTCATATGACACAGAAAACAGCAAAGGACAGAAAAAAATCAGTCGAATATAAAGTATCAGAAAGAGAAATATGACTTGCTATGGACCGATGCACAGTTAGATGGAACTATCACGGAATAGACCTTCACCATCCCATGACTGACAATAAAAAGTATAAGATCGACAAGCAGAATATTAGAGGTATTTCAGAACTTTTGGTCTTCTCGAGTGGCCAACTTAGGAATCCAAATCAGTGTATCAAAGACAAAATTTCAAGCGAAGATTCATTGGAAAAGATTTCATCTATAGATACACAGAGAGAAATATTGTTTTTATTTTCTAGCTGGTGGTAATCCCGCCAATTGCGTGGGCAGCAAGTGCAAAACAGCTAAGAAGATTGTGTCTTCCTTCAAGTCGTATGTCAAACAATACGCATCGGGTGTTACACAAAAGCAGCTCGATAAATGGCAACAAATGTTGGATGATGGGTCTCTTCGAGCCAGTGATCTTCCAGCTGGCGTTCGAAGAGGTGCGGGTATCGACGATGATTGTTTGAATATTACCATCGATGATCTCCGTGGTATTAAAAACTGCACATGAAATTTTTCTGACTGAGATACTTATGTCTAACTTTTTGAAATAAAGAAGCTTATCAACAGCTTCTTACAGAGTAAAAAATTGTGAAAATCATATAAACCATGTATGTAGGTCTATGCAAGTGTGACGGAGTCACATTTTTTCACTTTGTATTTTCAATACTTCAATGAAACGAAGCGGTATAAGGCTGAAATATTCACAGACTATGTAAATCAAATAACTCTAAACATGCTGAAAGTTTCATAAGATTTCAAGCTTCTGTACTTGTTTTATACTCGAAATATAGAGTGTGGGTGTAAGAAAGAACTACATCCACACACACATCCACACTCACACCCACACCCACATCCACACCCACACTCATACTCACACCCACACCCACACCCACACCCACCCACACCCACACACCCACCCACACCCACACACCCACCCACACCCACACCCACACCCACCCCACCCACACCCACACCCACACCCACCCACACCCACACCCACACCCACACCCACACCCACTCACACCCCACCCACACCACCCACACCCACACCCTAACTTCCCACCCCTAGCCAGAATTACACCCATACCCGCACCCCACACACACACCCACACCTTTCTTACTGTTATTGTCAATACGTCAAATTTTTGTTCACCCCCTCCCTCACCCTCTTGTGAGAAGCTCCTAATTTATTTGTAAATGGCCTAAATTCTTCGTACAAATCTGGAAATGATGACAAAGGAGAAACTTTTCTTTCGGTGTTCGAGGAAATCTATAGTGGACCGATAGTTATGAGAAAACTTGTCGAAGGCCCATCTTGCTAAAAATATCATCATAGGTGCAACTTGTGCCGTGAAATCTACCTGGAAATTCCTAATTTTTTTTGTCATTTAGCTGAAAACTATTTCTAATTAATTTCTCACTAATCCACTAATTAGTTCTAATTAAGTGACAACCGAAAGAACTAGTCCAAAAAAATAATCTCTAGCCAATCAAAGCCAAACACAAGCTCGGTATCTGACTTTTTCCTTGACATTATTCATACATAAAAATAGATAAAATATGGACTAATGGGCTCCATTTTGGCTGACGCCAGTTTTGGCTCACTTCATACGACCTAAGAGGAAAAGAATTTCGTTGATTTAAAACGGCGCTTTAGAGCAATTCTATAGAAAAAATGGCGAAAGATTATGCTTTGACTTGTGTTGGATTGATTAAGTTTTTTGTACTTTTCAAGTTTGAGAACGCAAAAGCGACAATGAAACACAAAAGTAAAACTTCAATCCTCGTTCTTTGTGTTTTTTTATACGTAAGTAACGCGCTTTTTACATGAATGATGCATGCTCTATGTGTTTTACTAACGTGGTTTGCGTCGTTTAAGAGTGATTTTTTTGCGGGGTCGAAACTGCAGCTTTGGCATTTTTTTAAAACAAACGCGTTTTCAAGAATGAAATGATTAAACGGTGATTTTAGTAAAATATTAAACATGGTCGTTTCTTTTTATAAGATGAATGGTAGTCTAATTCGTAATTGGCAGAATCGAAATGTAATATATACATCTCATTCTCCGCATCTCAATAGACTAACGTGGTGTGATCGATCGTGCTTTGTTATAAACAACTTTTTTTTTCTGACACTGTAGGATGCAGTACTTCCTTTATTATATTCCATTCAGCGTTACCTTCACTAACAACATTGTTTTTTTTTGTTTTTTCTTTTCTGTTATTTTTTTTTTACAGATCAAGAGCACTCTCTTCCATTTGAAATTGTACTTAAAAATAAATGTCTTTTATCATCATCATCATCGTATCCACAAATAAAGCATTCATTTATTCCTGTTCATCACACAAAAAACATGCTTCTCCTCATCTAGCTCGTCACTAATGGCAAAGAAACCTGCAGATGATGACGACGAGTCTAAATTGCTGCCTCCTGAAAGATTTCTCGATGTAGTGCTGGAACCACAGAAACTACACTCACCTATCACGAACTACGAAAATGAAGCACTCATTCCACTCGATGAAGCAGTACGTCAACTTGAAAAAATAATCAAAAACATACAAAGCTTCGTTTGGGTGGCAAAATCAAACTGTAGCCATCCTAAAGATGGTCTGACAATCGATGAATCAGCAGCCATCTACCTGTACACAATGGATTGCCTCTATCGTCAATTGAATGAAGCTCTCCGTAATAAAAATCGACCCTGTCTCCTTCAATTTTTTCCTTATTTAAAGTTATTTCTCACTGCTCTGTGGAAACTGCCAGATGTGAAATGCGTTGTTTGGCGTGTGGTAAAAGCTGATATTGCAGATCAGTTTGAAAAAGGACAGACAATGGTTTGGTGGGGACTTTCATCATGTACAACAGCACTCACTGTTCTACAATCAGAACAGTTTCTTGGTCAAACTGGCGACCGTACTTTGTTCATGATTGAATGTATCAACGGTAAAGTAATACAAAATCATTCTTATTATGTATCGGAATATGAAGGGTGTGGGTGTGGGTGTGCGGATGGATGTGTGATAAGTCTTCATCTACACCCACATGACACTCACACCCACACCCACACCCACACCCACACCCACACCCACACCCACACCCACACCCACACCCA